TTCCACAAAGCTGTCAGCCTCAGGTTGCTGGAGTTCAAACCTCACAACTCTCCTGCTGGCCAAAAGTGCCCTGAAGGCATTCGAGGAACCAAAAAAAAAAAAAAAAGAAAAGAAAACAAACAGGCAAGCATAGCACAGAAACTCCTGAAGCCATAGTGCTGGGCTTGCGTGGGGCACCGCGTATCTTCTGTCATAAGCATGGTTCAGAAGCTCGGGTTTATAAACAGGCTGTGGGAAGTAAGCAGAAATTCTGGAAATAAACCCAGATGTGCACGAAAATCTATGATAAAGGTTGCAACCCAGAGGGCCGGCGCTGAATGTAATTAGGACATGGATAGGCCAGCAGAAGGAGTTAAAATTGGACCTGTACACAAGAACTAGATTCAAGTATTTCAGAGATCTAAAACTAAAATGGAAGCCTTGGTGTGGCACTGCACAACAGGGTGGCTAAATAATAATCATGTACTAAGGGCATTAACTGTTTTCACATGAAGAAATAATAGACAACTGAAGCGGTAGACACACTGGCCCTGGACGGCGTGCAGAGTGTGCACACATCCAGCCAGCACGTGTGCTCCTTTGTTGTGCTCAATTTTTATGTATCTATTTTCATTTTTATTTTATGTATTTGGTACAGGGTCTCACTACGCAGCTCGGACTCGTAGTGATCCTCCTGTTTTCAGCCTCCCCAGCCCTGGGATGACAGGCGTGCGCCACCACGCCTGGTCTCAGGCCACCTCAGCACGCCCAGGGATGGAATGGAGCAAGCGCGGCATGAGCTGCCAGGGATTGAACCCAGTCTTTGAGCTTGTCTGAGGAGGTGCTTAGTCTGCTGAGTTATCTCAGTGGCCCTATGTATCTATTTTTAAAAAGATAAAATTATTTGTAAATGCAAAAATCAAGTAAAAAAATGAAATCTTGCAAGTACAGTGGAAGAAATAAACTCACGATCTTCCAATAGGGAAAGATTTTAAAGTGAAATGTGGGTATTGAGAAAATAAGACTGGTAAGCTTGAGTACATTAAACACTCCCACATAGAATCTGAACTTTGAAGAAAGCAAGCGAGCAAGCAGATGTTTTGCTAGGAAGTAAGAATGGTTTACACACAGAGATTTTACTACGTTGGGGCATTAAGCTGAGCAGAAAGTAACATCCGTCTAGAGCCTAATCTCTGAAAAGAGGGACTGTCATGTGTGTCACTAACCCCTGGCCCTGGGGTGTTTTCTTCAGTGTGTGCTAAATGACTAAATCAGGGTTCTCTGGATGTGATGAGACGCTGTCATGCTGAAGTCTTAGTTCTTCCTTGGGGCAGATACCTGACACCCACAGCTTAGAGCTGGAGAGGATCGTTTGGGTTCGCAGTTACAGTCCATGGAAGAAGAGCAGCAGAAAAGCTGTTCAGCAGCAGAAGAGCAAACAGCAGAAAAGCTGTTCATGTCTTGGTGGCAAAACAGAGAGGGAGGGCCTGAGGAGAGAAGAACGCTTCCGGGTTGCGCCCCCAAGACCTGCCTCTCCCTGCCATGCCCTGCTGCTAACAGCGCACCGAGCTATACTGTCCCCATGATTCAGTCACCTTCCCAAGACTCTGCCTGTGAGTTCATGAGGCCTTAGGGGACAGTTGCTGTCCAGACCATAACGGTTACTATGCAGCAGTACTACTGCCGTAGTACTGGTGTGGTACCATTCAGCTGTGTGAACTAATGGAAAGTTCTAGAAGTACGGTTTGTTTCCGCTGTGAACTGAACTGTGCCTCTGGTACCAGTTTGCCAGCATTTTTTCAGGGCTTCAGGAATGGAGCTCTTGGCATACATGTGGGAAGCCTGTAGTAAATTTTGGAAAGTCTCGGGCAGGGAGGACACCAGGTACTGACCGGACTTTGGAGCATTAACCGTGCACCTCTCATTACAGGCCCAGGCGGGGAATATTCAGAACGCTGTGATGCTAGACAAGCAGAAAGAGCTTGACTACAAAGTCAGAACCGTGAAGGATCAGGTCATGGTGAGCACCGAGTGAACACGGGCCTTTCTTCTGTAATTGCGGTAGCAGAAATGTGTTTCTGTGTTAGTCACTCTCTCCTCGCTGGGACTTGATACCGATGCCCACAGCTTCAAGGGGGAGGGGCTTATGAAGCGCAGGGCCTCAGAGTTGCGTCTGTGCCTCGTTGGCTCTAAGGCGGCAGCAGTGGGGCAGGGGAGGGGGCAGAGGACAACAGCTTGCACCAGAGAAGCCAGGAAGCAGAGCGAGACGTGGGGAGCTGGCGATGAGACCGCACCCTGCAGGCTGCACCCCACTGACCCTCCTCCGGCCTACCTGAGTCTGAAAAGTGCATTTAGGTACCAAACTCCTCCGTGGAGGAATCCACTGAAGAGTGTACCCCTCCTCGAACCAGTCGTCTCCAGACATGTGAGACCACTCTTGTCTTTTGGGGACATTGAAATCTAGACCGGAACAGTTCCAGTTACCTGAGTTTAAACCCAGTGATTGGTATGTCAAGTAGTTGAAAAGAAAAACTGCTAGAGGTCCAAACCAGAAGTAAACAGATTGGTAAGACCAGTGATCGATGAGGCTTCTCGGGACCTCTGTCGTAACTTGCAAACGCTGAGCTTATCTTTCTCTGCCTTCTGATATCACACGGTAAATTGTTGACCCTGCCTCCATTGTCCAATAAATGAGGAATCAGATGTCGCTGTTCTGAATGGCCTGCTAATTCCACAAGCCTTAAATCAGGGTGTTCCTGGTGTCAAGCTGAGCTCCCAGGATGAGCGTGGCCCATCCGCCTCAAGTCCCTGTTTTAATCACAGACCTGCAGGAGGAGCAAAAAGTATTTCACTGAAAGAAACCCTGGTACATTTCCTATCAGAATAAGACATCCACAGCCATTTTCAGCTCACCCTTCCCAGATTGGTTGTGGAAGCAGAGGGCTGCTGTAGCCCTGGTCGGGACAGTCCTGCCGCACGCCTGCGTGACGACAGCTTGGCCTGGACTCCTGGTGCCAACAGCATCTTTTCAAACCCAAATTCATCAGAACAGTTTGGTCCTTCAGTTTGGTCCTGGGAGAACACGCCATTACCGTAGCACCAAGTCCGCTGGGTCTGGAACTAGCCAGAGAGAATAAAGCATAGAGAGGGGATGGGATCCAAAGCACACAAGGCTCCTCTGTGGAGTGAACGTAGAGCTTGTGTCTAGAGGGTGGCAGCTGGTTGTCCAGCTGTGTCTGAGGGTGGCAGAGAACTCCGTTCAAAGTCACACCAGGATAGCGGATGTTAAGGCCGGGCTGCTGCGGGTAGACAGATTTGTGGTCACCGCCTTGCTTGTAAGAATGGAGGACGTTTTCCATGAGCTTGTTGTTCCCTGCTGTACGCATCATACTCAAGTAGTTAAATCTTGAGATAGTCTCTAAGATGAGTAGGAAGAGTCACAGTTATGGCCCTGAACCAGGTGGTGACAGTTTGAGAATTAACATGTTCTCTTTTTTTTTTTTTAATTCCTCCTCTTTTATGTAGACAGTATTACAATTTTATTTTAGTTTATTATTTTTTTTAAATTTTATTTATTTATTGTTGTGTGTGTGTGTGTTTGTGTGGCCAGCTCAGCCCACCAGGGGGCGGGCTGGCTGGCATGTGGTGCTGGGAATTGAACCGCGGTCCCTATGCTTTGCTAAGCTTGTTCTAAGTAGGTGCTTTAGACCACTGAGCCATCTCACCAGCCCCAACATGTTCTCTTTTCTTAGAAAATGTGACCACACACTGTCTCAGTGACTTTTCTGTCATTTCTGGGACAAAATACCCAACCCCTAAAATGAAGGAGGGAAAGGTTCATTTAGCTCACGGTTAATGAAGGTTCCGGTCCATACTTGGCTGGCTGCAAGGCAGAGTGGCATGTGACAGAGGGCAGCCATTCATGGCAGCGGAAAACAGCAAAGAGCAAAAAGGGAGGAAGAGTCGCAGTCTCTGCCTCTCTCCCTTCCTCCCGTTGTATTCAGACTATTGGCCCCAGGGCGGGTGTAGCGCTCACACCCACGATCCTAGCATTGGATCACGAATTAATCACAAACTCTAGAAGGCTGCCCCAGGGACTGCATGAGGCTTGAGGCGACAACCAGACGCAAACCATAACACTTGCTAATGAAATAGATGCTACCCTATGTCTGTATTGCAGTTTTCTCAGTCTGATGAGTGTGGCAGGACCTGCAGTTGTTACCCACCATTTCTGGGTTCTGTAGAAGCAACAATCTGTTTGCTGAAGCCTTTAGAAGCAGACGATCAGTGAAACACATGTTTATGTCTTTATTTGTAGAGCATAGAACAGGAGATCAAGACCCTAGAAGATCTGCAAGATGAATATGATTTTAAGTGCAAAACTTCGCAGAACAGAGGTAAGAGTTGGCCAAGCGGTGTCTAGTGGCTGTGTACTTTTCCATCTATGCCAAATAACTAAGGCAGCCCTTGCGTATCTGTCAGGTATTCTGTGACTGATTTACCAGTCCTGGGTTCTGGATGATCCAGACCTCATGTCCTTAAGCCCGCTTCCGTTGACACTGTGGGCCTGGTCACGCCTATGCCAGGCTGGCGTGTGCCTTGTGGAGTGTTTCATACCCCTGACCTCTACCTGGTCGTGTTGTGGGGGCCAGGAGCACTGCCCTCTTCCCTCTAGTAGTGATACCCAAATAGCAGCAGACCTTGCCAGATGCCCCAGGGCAGGGGGCAGGGGGTGCTGAGCCACCCTAGTCAATAACCACTGGTGGTGTAGGACTCGCTGTACTTCTTGCATCTGAGCTACCCACTGACATGACTGGCATGAATGTGGGGTTTCCCTGCCTGGCAACACACACGCACGCACGCATGCACGCCACCAAGTCCCTGTGAATGTGCTCCACATCATCTCAGTACTTTCCTTGTGCTGAAGGTTTTCAGCATTTTCACTGCTTTATTGTTGCTGCTTGTCTTCAGTGACAGCAGACTCTAAAAAGAACTGCAGAATGGACAGTGTGTAGCGAATGCAGCTGGGGCTGCTCGTAGCCTCATAATCATTTGGTTGGGAGGTACAGCTTACCGATGTGATTTGGGTAAAAAGTATGCGAGAAAAGAACCCCAGCTCCTAGTTCCTAATGGGGCATTTCTCTTTTAGAGTCATAGATGATGTCTCATGTACATTTATCTGAAGTTTTGAATTTGGTCATTTGTGTATTCATTTAAGTAGAAGTCTGGCAGCAATTGAAATACTAAACAATTGGCAGTTTCCATGGGTTGCTGAAAACTCGTACTTGGTTTCATTGTGACCAGTTTTTATTCCTAGGACATCTTTGTCTTGATGGTTCAAAAGGGCTGAAGAGCAGACGGCATTTGTGTCGTAGCTCTCCTAAATGTATGTGAATCTTGGTTTTCATTGGGTTTATCCTCTTACACGTTCTTACTTTTATGCTCTCTATTAATTCACAGAACATGAAGCCAATGGTGTGGCCAAGAATGACCAGAAACAAGAACAGCTGTTGCTCCATCAGATGTACTTAATGCTTGACAATAAGAGAAAGGTAGAGATGACACTTTCCAGGAGAGCACATTGTTTTTCATGCAGGCCATAGGTAGTAGATTTGAAGTTTAGAAACGGTGGAAAAATTATTTTTATAATGATTTGGTTTGATATCCTAGCTAAGAGTAAAAGGATATTTGCTTTATTTTTTAAAAAAAAATTTAAATTAAATGATTGAAAACAAATTTAGTTCATCTTCTTCCTTTGTCTTTAGGAAATAATTCACAAAATCCGAGAGCTGTTGAACGCCACGGAGCTGACCCAGAACACCCTGATCAATGACGAGCTGGTGGAGTGGAAGCGGCGGCAGCAGAGTGCCTGCATCGGGGGGCCTCCCAATGCCTGCCTGGACCAGCTGCAGGGCTGGTAAGATGCAGCCCAGACCTGCAAGGGGCGCAGCTGCTAGCTCTGCCAGAGCTTCCGGTCGGAGCTCAGCACAGGGCGGCTTCTGCCAGGCCTGGAGACTGCAGGAAAGCTAGTGGTGCCTGTGGCCACATCCAGCTGCATCGGTTTAGAGTCATCTTAGGCCCAGCAACGCGTCCCTGGGCCGTACCCCAGCCCCAGCGGTGTGGTTGCTGTGCAGCACACTTTACGGCCTGAATCCTGGTGGTTCATTAAGGGCAACACCCCTGGAGGCCGGGTCTGTTCTCCCATAAAGCGCTGGTTGCTGTAGCTACCATTCAGCCTGAGAGACGCTGGCTCTGGCTGGGCCTTCAACGCACAAGGAGGATGGATTCTTGGACCCCGCCTGTTAGGATTCTCAGTGTGGGTGGACAGAGGCCACAAGGGCACAGAGAGGGTGGCCTCGATGTGGCCCCGAGGGGCAGTGGCCTAGGGTGGTCGTTCAGTGCCCAATGACCAGGGTCCTAGAGGGGTCGTATTCTTGAGATGGCATCGTATGTTTTCATTCCATGAACTGCCTGTATGCACCCCAGTTTCTCTTGGGCTGGAGCAGAGTTTTCAGGCCCAGCTTGCCCTTGGATCTTGAGAAATACCCCAAAGGTCCCCTTTCCTCCTGGTCACCCTTTCACCCTCCTGGGAGCCCTGAGGGTGCTGGAGCCCCGTGGTGGTCACCACAGGCCACAGACATCTCTCCATCCCTGGGTGCCAGTACCCTCTCCCACACCATGTGAAGACTGTTTTGGGGGTCCCAGGGTTCCAGGCAAGATGTGTCAGGGCCCTCCGCTGCCACCCTGCTTCCTGCTCTGGGGTGAAGGCCACTCTCAGGGCCAGGGAGTATGTGGCCAAATGAAGCAGAAGGGTTCTAGTGGGGGAGCATGCGCCTGTGATGTCCTGTGTCGTCCTCTGGCTGTTGGAGTGGCCCTTCTGCGAGTTCCCCGCCTGCGGCTGTGTCAGTAGCACTAACTCTAGGGAAGAAGGGCTCAGTGACAGCCAGGCTTCTCCAGGCTGAGCAGAGCCTCAAACCTCAAGGGCTCCTCCCTGCTCTCCAGTCGCCTGAGACATCTGCCTGCTCTTTCGCTTCTTTGTCCGCCCCCTTGTTCTTCCCTCTTGAAGTCTCAGGTGCACTACAGGTCTGCTGGGCCTAGCATGGTGGCGCATTCGTGTAACTCCAGCTACTTGGAAGGCTGAGGCAGAAAGATCAGGCGCAGTTCTTGACTATAGCAGGGTGCAAAAGGATGAAAGATTACTCAGTCAGTGTCCAATCCACACCACAAGAGGGCTGCGAGGGGCTGCGGTCCACTGAGATTGTCAGCGTGTGAACTTCTTAAATGACAGCCTTCACCTCGCGCATTAATCTCAAACCACGTACTCCAGAGGTTTTAGACGTGTGGCTCTGCCTTCCGTTTCATACAGACCTCTGGCCCACACCCTCAGGAATCACAAGTTCAAGGTCAGCCTTAAGGGAGACCCTGTCTCAAAATAATAAAAAGGGTTTGGGATATGGTTAGTATTGGGGTGACACAGCACTCAGTCTTAGGCAGCTGCAGGTGACCTGGAAGCCCCTTAGACATCAGGAGTCCGAAGAGGCTTCTGCTTGTGGGCTTTGTAATCTTGCAGTGCATGGTGCTTTTTCTCCAAATAGCTGAGCTCCTTAAGCCACGAGGTTCCCGCCACACTGGTCCCTGCGGTGTGGGCAACATACAGTGGGGAGGATCGGTGTCGCCTGCCCGGTGGAAGGGCAGCCTGGGTTCCCGCGACTCATCCCGCCTGGTCCTGCACCGTCGCTCATGGAGACACCGTGTCGTGCATCCACAGGTTCACTATCATCGCCGAGAGTCTGCAGCAGGTGCGGCAGCAGCTCAAGAAGCTGGAGGAGCTGGAGCAGAAGTTCACCTACGAGCAGGACCCCATCACCAAGAGCAAGCAGGGACTGTGGGACCGCACTGTGGCCCTGTTCCAGCAGCTCATCCAGAGGTGACGCTGCGGGTTTCTGCCAGGCGGGCGGGCGCAGGCTGGCTGTGGGAGTATTCAATGGTGCTTGGCTCTTTCCCGCTTCCGTCTTTATCTCAGTGGTCGCTGTCCGTTCTGCCCCAGCTCTGGAGCTGTCGTAACCTCTCCCTCCCTCTCTTCTCCTGGCCCAGTCGGTGCTGAGATCTGCCATCGCCTAGCTTGGGATGTTTGTCCTCTCCGTTTCACGCTGTGGGGTCTCAGACCCTTTCTTCTGAGCTCCTCGCAAGTGGCCCCACAGCTGGGCTCCCCAGCCCCGCCAGTCTGGGGGTGCTCTCAGCTGAGCATGTCACACACTTGTTCACACTTGTTTTCTCCCTGCCAGACCTGGAAGCTTGTTGTTTATTCCTCTCCCTTTCTGCCTTTTGTTACCTAAGTGGTTACCAGGTCCTGATCAAACCGCAGCCTCTGCGTCTGCTTTAGCAGGCGCTTTAATCCCTGAGCTATCTGGCCCGCCTGTTATTAATCCAAGTTTGTTTGTTTTTTTTGCGGAACCGGGGATTATTAATCCAAGTTTTAAAGCTCTTTCAGACCTTTTCAGTTTATGCACTCTTAACTCCATTTCCTTTTTAGGGAAAAGTCTTTTTTTTTTTTTTCCTGCCTCAACCTTGATGGAAATGCTAATGTGTGTGCATTTGCTGGATATTTGCAGCTCCTTTGTGGTAGAAAGACAGCCGTGCATGCCGACGCATCCGCAGAGGCCTCTTGTCCTCAAGACCGGAGTACAGTTCACCGTGAAGTTAAGGTAATGTAGAGAGAAACGCAGCTTTGCAAACCGCCCATCACGTGATTTGCCCTTCTTATTTCCGTAGGGGATTTAAGAGGAAATGATTTTTCAGTAGAGATTGTATTGTGAATTCTTAGGATATCTGAGATTCTTTTGTAGAAGTACAACTGATATAAATGCAAATACACACATCTGGTTTTCCCCTGGTTGCAAATGCATCACACGTGCATAGTAAGGTGGAGCTCAGACTTGCACGCTTGAACGTGATAGAGCGTCGAAGTTCCAGTGGCCGCCTTTCCTGAGAGCAGGCTGGTGAGGAGGGCTCTGTGAGCCCCTGAAAAAGAAGTAGCCTATGTGTACACAGGTGACACCTGTGGGATTTTTCTGGTGCGTGCCTTCGAAACTTTCCTGCGATTTCCTTCCACGGTGGTCTGTGGTCCAGATATTCGGGGACCAGTACCACAAGTGGCCTGGTGGTGTCGTCCTTAGTGTCATGAGTGTCCACACAGGTGTGCAGAGCAGTGGGTGTGGATATGTTCCTTACATAGACCCACATGAAGCACGTAGCAGACACTGTTCCACTGTGTAAGGTGACCCTTGTCTCGTAGCCTGCTTTTTCCTTAGTGTAGTTGTCAGAGCGTTTCTGAGTGAGAACTTCCGGTCTCGCTCTGCTCTGGTGAAGGGCTGCAGTCGTCCACCTGCTCTTCTGGAGATGAGCACTGCCCCCCAAGGGGAGGACCTGCCGCCAGGGCTAGCCACGGCCTGTCTCATCAGGTGCTGCTGTTCGGGGCCACACCATGGCTCCTTCCCTAGTGGGCCGTGAGTAGCACCACACACTAGTGTCTATGGAAACTGGAGCTCAGCTTTGCAGGAAGACTAGAGATGGACTGTCTTGTGACACAGGACCTGGGAGCTCCTCCCACCTTCTGGCTAGCTGGAGTGCTCAGAACCCAGCACCCCACATTCCACCCCTCCACACTGCCCTGCTGTGCAAGAGGGCAAGCCTCGTTTTTCTAATTACAAGGGACAGTTTTGCTTTTCTCCCACTAGCATAGAAAAATAGTTGTTAAGTTCCACAACAGGTCATGTTTGTCACTTTCTAGCCATCTAAGACCAGAAGTAGAACTTTCGATAGCACTTTCTGTCAGTGAGGTTGTATAGGACGCCATCACCCTCGCTGATCCCAGTAGGAGCAGGAAGTCAGTGCTCGGTTCCACCAGAACTTCATGCTGCGGTTCTGCCGTCACAGAACCACAGCTGGAAACAGGACCTGCAGGTGCATGCATTGAGGAAAAAAGCCAAGTGGATGTACAGCCTGTCAGTTTCATTGCTTATGAGGCCCAAGAGCTGGAGGGGTGATGGGGCCCGTACATGTTCATAGAGGGACACTTTAAATATTAAATACATTGCATGGGATCATTTGTTTAAAGTAATAACTTTTGTTTTCCTCTCCAGGCTATTGGTCAAATTGCAAGAGCTGAATTATAATTTGAAAGTCAAAGTCCTGTTTGACAAGTAAGATCATTTTTATGTTATCTGTACCATTGGAATGCTGGTTTTGTTCATCAGATGTGGACGCTTCCATTTGCGGTTGCTCAGCAGAGCTGTATACCGTTGGCGGGAGGAACCTGGCCTCCCTGGGGACAAGGGTGGAGCCCAGGTCCTGGCCTGGCTTCCAGAGCTCACCTGGGGCCATCCCAAATGACCTAGATGGAAGCAGATGGCTCGCTAGCTGCATGTTGGCAGCGTCCCCTAGAGCTGGGGCTTTTTACATGAAAATGAATAGAAGAACGTGTGTCCGAGATTATAGCTGGACTCTGCACACCAGGGCCAGCTCCCAAGGAAAGGCCTGGCGCAAGCCCAGCTGCACGCCAGGCTGTGTGCACTGTGGCCGGCTGTGGGGTGGTTTGCAGAGACGTAGAGGCACTGGGGTGGGGCTGTCACCCTCTCTCTCCTGGGTAGTGCAGCCCACTTGCCGCACTCTGCTCTAGCTCAGTCCCTCTTTGCATTTGTTTGATCTCCTTTGCCTTTGAGTCCCTTCTAGCTCCGGCCTTCCTCTGTCACACTGTCCCTTTTACTATAAACTGGTTTTCAGTGGAAAAAAATAGATCCCTCTTACAATAGTTGATTTTCACAACACACTGCTTTTCTGGCTGAGATAGGGAAGGGAGGTCGCTTTCTCCTGTGAGTAGTGACCTCTGGCCCACGTCTAGGCCCTGCCATGACTGTCTTTGGTGTTGCTGGAAGAAAATACTCGGAACCCAGCACTTTCTCATCAGCTTATAGTCTCGGGCCTGCAAAGCTCAGGGTGGGGAGGCAGCGCCTTTGCAGCATCATGTCCTGTAGGGGGCGCCCTGTGGTCCAAGCGTGGGATCACGGCGGCAGCCAGCTGAGAAGGCCGATACTTCCCAACTCGCTGCCTTTGGAGCAGCCAGGGCAGCCTCGCCAGGCCTAGCCCACACCACTGGGCAGGCGGCAGTCCCTGTGGCCCCTCAGTGTGGCTGCCCACGACCCCAGGCCTAACTTCACGCAGTTTGCACCCCAAGCATCTTAGAAGGAAGGCTGGCGCAGGGTGAGAAGCGTGCAGCCTGCACATGGTTAGCGTGAGAGATGGAGGAAGTGAGGGAGTCAGTGAAAGGCCATGTTTGTTTTTGTTCTTGTTTTTTGGCGGTACCAGGGATTGAACTCAGGCCCTACGTGCTTGTCAGGCAAGCGCTTACTCTACTGAGCTATCTCCTCGGCCCCCAGGAGTCAGTGAAAGGCCAGCAAGCCAGTGCTGTGAAATTTTTCTTTTATCTTTTACTTACGTAGGTACGCTTTCTGTTTCTCTTGAAGCTAATTGCAAGTGTTAAACATGTCCTTTTGGTTTTGCAGGGATGTGAATGAGAGGAACACAGTAAAAGGGTAGGTGACACACTTGTGCATGTTTTGCCCCCTCAGCGGTGTGTGAGTGTGAAGCCGCTGAAGTGCGTATGTCTGGTTGTGCAGGTTCCGGAAGTTCAACATCTTGGGCACGCATACCAAAGTCATGAACATGGAGGAGTCCACCAATGGCAGCCTGGCGGCCGAGTTCCGGCACTTGGTAGGGAGGCTGGGGCCCCACTAGCACTGTCTGTGCTCTGCCAGAATGTGGGGTACAGGGTGGCACTTGGCAAGCCAGAAGGTGCCTCTTAGGCCTCCTAGACCAGCTGCTGACCAGCAGGGGCACCCTAGCTCCCTGCCCCATCCCAGGGCTGCCCACCCGATCTTTTGCCCACCCCACCCCCGTCCCGTGTGAAATGCCCCCGTGTGGCTGCAGGGGTCTCGGCAAAAGTGCTTCATTAGCCTACGTGGACATAGGCTGTGCCCAGCACACACCACGTGGCCATCACTGTGGAGCCCTGCAGTTTGCTAGGGCTGCCTCTCCCACACTCCCACCTGGCCTGCTGGCCTGCAGCCCCCTGAGCCTTTCGCTTGTCTGGGGAGGCCCCACCCAGCTGATTTGCAGGCTTTGTAACCTGAGGAGAGGTCACGGGCACCATGAGTCCTGGTGACTGTCTTGCAAGCCAGCAGACCAAGAAGCCAGCTCCAGCGCAGAGGCCTGAGGGTGACCCTAGCTGACCCCACAGTGCTTTCTGGGAAGCTTAGGCTGACATCCCCAGAGAGTGGGTCTTCCATACCCTGACCACCAGGCCCACCTGCTTGTAACAAGAGGCTCTCAGTTTAGAGATCCGCAGCAAGCTGTTCCGTCTCTTGCTCCGCACTCAAGATCCTGTCAGGTCCTTTTTTCCTGCTCCTCAGTGGCCCAGGTGGCAAGAGTGAGTCTGAGTTGGCAGCTAGCATGCGGTTTACTAAGATGGTTTCCTGTTTTTTTAGCAACTGAAAGAACAGAAGAACGCTGGCAACAGAACCAACGAGGTGAGGGGCCCTGAGTGGTTGGGCGGGCAGGTCCCCACGGGGAGGGGCTGGGAGAGTCTGTGGTAGCAAAAAGCCCTCTGCTGCCTGATTTCTGGCTGTCAGGTAGCCCAGCGGAGGGCTGGCAGGGTTGTGTGTTTTGCACACTTTCTGGGTGGAGGTTGAGCATCACAGGAAGTCCACAGGACTTTGCTAGGCGCTCACTGTCCAGTGGAACAGAGCCTGGCTGTGACTTGGTGCTGGAACGGGAAGGTCGGGCACTCCTGCCAGGTGACACTGTTTTCAAATTCTTTTTCACACCCTGCCCCTTGAGGAGTTGCATTATGATGCATTTAATGATGAAATGTGGGCCAAGGACAAAGGTCTAGAATTTGTATTTAGAAGGCCTAGACTTGGTTTTTCCCGAGTGCACAGGGCATGCTGTCCTTCCCACCACAACCAGTAGAGGGCGCTGGAGCAACGAGACAGACTTGCTGATGCCTGGGACCTGGCTCACACCATTAACTGCTGTGCAGCCTCTGGTCTAGCTGCAGTGTCTCCCCCGTTTTGAGTTGCTGTGATGCTTATGGGAAGCAGTTTGCGTGAAGGCATCTTGAAAGCCATCCCTTGCTACCCAGAATGAAGCACTCCACGACCCACCAGGCGTTTGGAGTCAGTGCTTCCTGTAGATAGCCAGACCTGAGATGTGTCTGCAGCAGGGAGCCACAGGCGGTGTGCAGGTCTGGTGGACCATACTGCGTCCCCGGTTGGGTTTCTTTCTCTGGCTTGATAACTTCTGCCATAACTGCAACCCTTTTATCTCAGAACACTGAGATGCTTGGAATAATCAAGTCTGGGATTGACTATTCCTTAAGAGTTTTCCAGGCCAACCAAATAACTCAGCAGATTAAAGTGCCTGCAAATAGGCGCAGGGGCGGGGGCTTCCATCCCCAGGCCTGCCGTGCTGGCCCCACTCCCGAGGCGCCCTGAGATGGCAATTGAGACTGGGCGTGATGGCGCGCGCCTGTAATCCCAGCTCTTGGGAGGCAGTAAACAGGTGGATCACTGAGTCCAATCTAGTAGTGAGACCCTGAACATTCTGTAGACCCTTCCCTAAAATACTAAAAGAAAAGTGTCCTGAGCTACTGCTGTGTGGTCCATGATCTCTGCAACCTGTTTCTTTAGCTTTTGAAAGTCACAGGATCTGTGAGTGAATCGTTCTCTTCTCTGTTCTAAGGGCCCACTCGTTGTTACTGAAGAGCTTCACTCCCTTAGCTTCGAAACCCAGCTGTGCCAGCCTGGCTTGGTCATTGACCTCGAGGTGAGACTTCTGGGTTCCCCCGGAGAAGGCTGCTTATGTTTACATCTCGCTAGGACGTGTATTTCCATTTCTCAATTTTTGTTTTAGAGTTGCTTTTTTCAAGTATGACTATATGCAGAACTGCAGTTAGTGCCCCACTTGGCTCTGTGAGTACGCAGATGTCGGGTTAGGATGGTCTCGAGCCCTTTGTCTCCTTGCAGACGACCTCGCTGCCTGTCGTGGTGATCTCCAATGTCAGCCAGCTGCCCAGCGGCTGGGCCTCCATCCTGTGGTACAACATGCTGGTGACGGAAACCAGGGTAAGGAAGCAGGAGTGCTTTTGTGTGTTGGGGGGGGGGGGTCCTAGCTGCTGCGTGTCCCGAGCGCCAGCACCAGCCAGATGCTGAGAAGGCAGTGACGGGCTCCGGGGGGTTGCTGCCCGTCCTGAGAGACCGTGGGAGAGCCATGCATGTACGTGTGTGAGAGGTGAGGGTTATGCCTCTGCTGTCATTGTCTGTAAACGTGCACATGTAAAAAGCAAGCTGCATTCTTGGAGCGTGGCCGCCCGCCGCCACTGAGTCCTAGTTGATTCTCTTTACTGGGCAAGTTCCTGTTCCCAGAGTCGCCCGCAGCCCTGGAGGATTGCTGCTTCCAGGAGAGGCGCAGGGTTCGGTTGCCGCATGCCTGGTCTCTACCTCTTTGCCCACCTGTTGCACACAGCTTGTGTGTGTGTTCCTAGCGTATGTGGCGGTGTTCACCTTGACCGGAGGGCCCACAGCCTCCTAGCTCAGGAGCTGGACAGAGCGTAGCTGAAATGCATTTTCCCCCATAAGACGCAGCCCAGCTTTCTTGGGCACAGAACATCACACAGTGCTTTGATGCTGTGCTGGGTGCCATTTAAAGCAGTGAAGTGGGTGCCACCAAGAAAATGCACCAGACTCGGAAGAGCACCAGCCTACAAGCGCACAAAGCACAGTTACCTGCGGTTCAGATGTCTGCACAAAAGAGCTCTGGCACTGCATTTTGTTCCATTTCAGTGAAGTGCAGAAATGTTGAGTGGCTCTGTTTATGTGTCATGCTGTAAGAATACAGCCGCGGGGGCCGCAGAGGTGCCGTGACTGTTGGCTTTAGAGCCACGTGCAAATGTGAACAAATTTGCAATTGTAAACCTATAAATAATGAAATTCTCTTTCTCGATCCTGGGAATGTCCCAAGAAGCCAACCTGAGCTTGGGGTGGGTCTAGGACTTCTTGGTGACCTCAGGCTTTCATATGTTTCCTCCCTAGAATCTGTCCTTCTTCCTGAACCCGCCGTGCGCACGATGGTCTCAGCTTTCGGAGGTGCTGAGTTGGCAGTTTTCATCAGTCACCAAGAGGGGCCTCAATGGAGACCAGCTAAACATGCTGGGAGAGAAGCTACTTGGTATGCACTTCTTGCACCCAGGAAAATCAGAACCCAAAAGTCCCTTCTGCTTGCGCTCTCAGCCCTGGTCTCTGTTTGGGGCAGTATCCAGGAGTATTAAAACCCAGCTACCACTTATTTTGGCTAAATGAGCATCAGACCCCACCCAGGAAAGAAGGGACCACGGGAGGGACTTCTCTGACCTCTTCCTCTTTGCTTCCTGCTAATATTTCTGAGAACGGACCCTAGGACTAATTCTTTGGATTTTCTAAAATACATTTTCTGTGGAGGAGACAAGTCATGAGAAACATGAGGCCCTTACTCTCCTTGGAGAGAGAAGGGAGAAAGTCCCAGACCTGCACAATGAGGGTCGTTGTCTCACAGACCCAGGCTTTGTCTCGGGGGGCCCCGTAGCAGGTGCTGTCCACGCGGGGGATTCACACTGACCACCCGTCTGGCCTGCTATGCAGTCAAGGCACAGCAGACCGTTGCTTGCCAGTGGCCAAGGCCATGTGTGGCCAACGAGTCTCACAGCTGTTCCCCAAGACCTGCCCATCGCAAAGTCAGCCTGAACGAATGGGCGAATTTAAATCATTCCTTAAAAATCCCCAGGCTCCACCAAAAAAAAAAAAAAATCCCCAGGCAGCTCTAGCCCAGATTTATTTAACACAAGGTCTAAGACTCCCTTCCCCCTTTTCCTTGCCAGCACAGTCAGGAGGGGATGTCCGCGGCCTATCGTCTCTTCGTGGTTCTCTCAGGAGGGCTGCGTGCTTCGCCCCCCTTGTGCCCAGTGGTGCTGTGACTCGCTTGCTTATGGAGGGTGTGGGCTGAGGGGGGCCACAGCCTTTCCAAGTCCATGTGCCCTTGGGAGGACCACGGGACACATAGAGACACATAGAACAAACCTCTGAAATGCACTGATGAACTCAAGTATCTGTGCAGTGGATCACCCAGGTGTGATCTTGGCCTTAGTCTGAATTTAAAAACAAAAGTTTTGGTGTCTTGAGAAAAAGGGACTGCACACAAGGAAGCGGCAAGAGAGCGTGCTGGGGCTGGACAGGCGAGGGTCTGAGAGAGGATTTGGGAGAAGGGTTCGAAGCGCTGTTCTCTCCTCAGGAGCGAGAGGGATAGAGGGGACCAGAGGTGAGGCCCTGGTGCTCCTGCTCTCCCTAAGTCCCCGTGACCGTGGTGCCAGGAATCTGCCATCCCCTCCTTCCTGCCATGAAGATGAAGCCGGCAGGCACACTTGGCAGACCATTTTCATCACATCCTTTCACGGCTTGTTTGGTCATTGCTAAATCAGTCGCGTGTACAGCATCTTCCTTTCTCAGGCGGCAGTCTTTTTCTTTAAGATCAAGTACAGGAGTCATCAATCCGTGCAAGTGTCAGAGCGACTGCCAGTCACATAACACAGCATACTTGTGTTTGCCTAGGTCCTAATGCTCCCCAAGACGGCCTCATCCCCTGGACGCGATTTTGTAAGGTGGGTCCTGCCCAGGGATGGGAGCCTCTGAGCTCGTCTTGCTGTCTGGCGCCGGGGCTCCTGCAGGTCTCCCCTGGCGGGCAGCGAGCTGCTTGCTTGTTTTGGTTTCTCTCGCCCTCGGAGCACTGAGGGCCAGCTGTTTTCTTTCCTTCATGCACAAGTTGGGTCTCCAGGCCAGAGGCTGGCAGGAAGCACCTGCCGGGTGATAACATTCTTTCCCTTGCCCATCCCCGGCCCCTTGCCCGGCGGCGTTTGGCCCTGTCCGTGTGAACCTCACGCTCTGTCTGACCGGAGGGGTGGGACGGGGAGCTCAGCAGGGCTTCCCAGCTATGGGTCACCCGGAGGTGGCCCCTGGCTGCCACTGCTGTTTAGAGATGGAAGCAGGGATCCGTGGGAGGGCCTGGGCTGGTCGGCTGTGTGCTGGAGACGTCTGTGACAGCAGGGCGCTTTGCAAGTGAAACTGCAGTGGTGGGGAGCGAGTAGGAGAAGTCGCCATCGCTAAAGTGTGTGTTTGTGTGTTTTCAGGAGAACATCAATGATAAAAATTTTTCCTTCTGGCTTTGGATTGAAAGCATCTTGGAACTCATTAAAAAACACCTGCTGTCTCTCTGGAACGACGGGTAAGACACCACTGGCGATGGTATTTCTGAAACAGTTTTGGTGCCAATCCCTCGCTGCAAAGGCTGCATGCTGTCATTACTTGGCAGAATTTATGTCCCTTTTCCAAGATGGACACGTGCAGGTGATTAGGGTTCCACAGCAGCACATCCGATTAAGCTCACACTGTCTTATACACATGTTCGTACATTTATAAAGTCGAGCTTTAAAGACAAATTCTGAGCGCCTTCACGCCCCCATTCATTCATTCAGCAGTGATTTCTCAAGCATCTACTACGTTGCCCCTAGGAAGGAACGAAAGCCCTTGCGGCCTGGTGAATTGTGCCGAGCTTGTCTTCCAGATCGTCTCCTATTTCAGCAAAGGCTTTACAGGATCCATAGGGGCCGGAATAGGAAAACACGCTGTCGGAGTTTTGGGATTCAATATAAGAAATACACAGACTCAGCTATTTTCATGGCCTGTAAAGGCATCAGGCCCAAGAATGCTGCTTCCTGAGCACCTGCCCCTTCCAGTGGACCCCATGCTCGTGTGTGTGTGTGTGTGTGTGTGTGTGTGTGTGTGTTGTGAACTATAGCATGTACACATAAGGGAAAGACTTCCTCAGATCTGTAGGTCCTCGTCATGTGTCCGGCACTCAGCCATAAGAGGACAGGGACCCTGAAGCCCAGCTTCCTGTGCCCGCGCAGGTGCATCATGGGCTTCATCAGCAAGGAGCGGGAGCGCGCGTTGCTCAAGGACCAGCAGCCAGGCACCTTCCTGCTGCGCTTCAGCGAGAGCTCCCGGGAAGGCGCCATCACCTTCACCTGGATGGAGCACGCACAGAACGGGAGCGGTGAGTGGCGCCCCGGCGCGCAACCCTCCCTCTCAGGGCAGATCAGCCGCACCACACCCAGTAGGAAGCTTTGCGTGTGAGCACACAGGTCCCATCCTTGTCACAGCGGAGCCCCAGGAAGGGCTCGGGGAGGCATTGCGGGCATCAGCGAATCACGGCTTGGAGCGTTGTGGGAACAGAGCCTGTAAAAGATGAGGCCTTCTGGCCCTGCTGTCCACCCTGTTATCTGCAGATCAAGGATGTGAGTCAGTGTCCTTGCCGATCTTGGACAGGGTCCCACTTACCAGAGCGCCAGGGCACAGCTTCCGCTAGCTAGTTCTGCTGTGGGGGCCCAGCAGGGAACTCCCCCAGGTCTCCTCCACCAGCACCGTGGGACGGCTGCAGCCCCGCTCTGCTCCAGAGCAGCAACTTCCTGTGTTAGGTGCTCGTGTTCTGTTTCTGTGTGACCAAGTGAGCCTGTGGCGCACATACTGCCCAGACCTTGGCAGGTGAAGAGATGGATAAGGGCACAAGCTGCCCGCTTGTAGGGAGGCTTGTGGTCTGCTTAGAGGAATGGGAGGAAAAATTGGCTTATCCTTAGACTTGCCTTCTCAGGAGGGAGGTACAAAGGGATGGGATACATTCTCCTTGTTTGTTTTTTCTTCTGATGGAAAAGCAGGGTGGCTGGGTCAGAGCCTGGGGTGGGAAGGAGATGCGGAGCCTGCCCATTTCCCCCTTTCCCTGGAAGGCCATTTCCTGAGCCAGCCCAGACATGGAGTTAGCAACCAAGGGGACGAAAGCACTTGGCAACCAGCAGAGTCTGAGCACAGGGGCACCAGCCGCAAAGATGGAGCACACGGTGTGGCCCGCGGTTGTGAGCTCCACAGTGCTAGATTCTGGGTCACTTCAGAAGCAGCTCGGGATTAGGTCTGGGAATGAGAGTAGCAGGGAATTAAGCTTCAACTTAGGATGTGAGAGGTTAGAGGGAAACATAGGGTGTGAGATTTTCTTGCTGTTTCAAGAGTTGTTTTCTGTATTTAACCATCAGTGGTAGTTGGGATTTATCTGCATGGGGTAACAGTTTGTTGAAGATGCAGGCATTGAAGGGGTTCCACAAACTCCTTTGGCCAGACTTGTAAATCTTAAATAAACCAAGGAAGGATGAGAATTGGAATGAAAGTCTGGCATCTGTCAGTCCTTCTCACAGGCTCCTGGAATCTGTAATCTCTGCGGGGTATCAGTCCACACCTGTTACCTTAGACCGTTCTGTGGGACTCAACCAAGCTTTTGTCCCTGGCAGAACCTGAGTTCCACGCGGTGGAGCCCTACACCAAGAAAGAGCTTTCTGCTGTCACCTTCCCTGACATCATCCGCAATTATAAAGTCATGGCTGCGGAGAACATTCCAGAGAACCCCCTCAAGTATCTCTACCCAAACACTGACAAAGACCACGCCTTTGGAAAGTACTACTCCAGGCCAAAGGAGGGTGAGTGGGGCGAGGCAGTGGCCCTCGGGGTGGAGACAGGGTCCTCAGCTAGGGTTGGTGACACAGATTCTCCTGGCTACTAACCTCGCCCCGGCTTTCCAGCCAAGCATCAGTGCCAAAATGCAACCTAATTCACACATTAGGACTGTGGACCGTCTGCTTCTGGTCTTACCCCTTCTTCCCCAGGAAAGGGGTGAAGCTTAAGAACCATGGCAGCCCAGTGTCTGCCTGGCAGCTCATGTTAAAACTGAGGAAAGCGAGGTGCAGGAGTCGGGAGCCCATCCTAGTTAGCTCTTGTGTTGCTAGTGGTTGTTACAGAACCGGGGCTTGTCTTTTTTTTTTTTTTTTTTTTTTCACGGAACTGGGGATTGAACTCAGGCCTTTGCGCTTGTCAGGGAAGCGCTTATTCTACTGAGCCATCTCCCTGGCCCGCGGGGGCTTGTCTTAGGGCATGAGTGTTTCGCTTCCACCATGTCCTTGAGCTACATTTCAAGGTCAGCTTAAAAACACCCTGGAACGCATCAGCACGAGTGCGGCTGATAGCTTTTTACATCAGAAGCCTCACTCACTAGGAGAACAGTGACACTGAGGGCTTGGAGAAGCCCTCAGCTTAGGCGGTGTGTCAACTTCATTTGCACCAGAGAGTGCTTCGCATGCGTGGGCTCTGCATCCGTGAGGGACCACAGCCTGGGCAGGAGAACACCCCCAGCAGGACTCCTGCTGCAGTCACCTTCCCTCCCTGCCCCGTCCTCCCCTCAAGGGGCTTCTGAATTCCCGCAGGAACCTGCAGTGTCCCAGGCAGACAGCGGGGTCAGAACCTCTGCAGAGCTGCAGGACTCTAAGTTTTCCAGAACAGCAGTAGAAGCTTTCTTCCCGAGTGCTCCTTACGCATGGCTTCTGCTAACGGGAGGCCTGTACTGTGCTTCCTTCCAGCACCAGAGCCGATGGAGCTCGACGGCCCCAGGGGAACCGGATATATCAAGACCGAGTTGATTTCTGTGTCTGAAGTGTAAGTGAGCGTGGAAGAGCGCATGCTCAGAATGCGAGCAGCCTCTGCCTGGCTGGGGCCTCTCAATTGTATGTTGCTTTGCATTTTGCTTTTCCATTGTAAATGCTCTGCTCTCACGCTTGGACTTCCTGAAAAGAGCCCACTTAGGGTCCTGGTGTCACTGCCTGCCAGCATTTTACTGCCTTTAAAAAGCAAAACGCAAAAACAACCAAAAGCCAAAAGCTGTATTGTAAGATGTATACATTCTCCCCAAACTGAAACCTGGAAAAAGTCAAAATAAAAATAAACTGTTTTTCAGTGGGAACGCAGTTCTTTTAATTGAAGCAAGGCCAAATAATGACTGAGATCCCTTTTCCTCCACTTGCTTTTATTTTGTCCTTTCATTTCATAAAAGGCAGAAAGAGTTTGGGGAAGTCGCGGTCAGATATCTGGCTGCAGCACTGTCTTGGGGTGAATGGATGTAGCCTTCCTGTAAAAACCCTCTGGATCTGCTTTGTCTGCATACAGACCTCAAGGTAGGGACGCGGGACTCCCTGGGCGCTGCTCAGGAGCCTCTGTGCTGGGGGAGCCACGCCCACAGGTGCCCGCCAGGCGGAGCGCACAGGTCATGTTGGCCCTTGTTCTGCTCCCAGAGTCCCGCACACTCCCAAGGGGCCGGGCTGGGGACGTTAGCCTCCCACCCACCATCGCTGCTCTCCCATCTGTGTTTTAGGAGTGAGCCTATGAACTTCCCCTTTTGCCCAAGTGAAAGCGCGAAGCGCTCAGTCACAGGGAGGGCGTGACAGTCTCACTTTGCACCACGTTCATCGCGTGAGTGTTGACACGTCCCCCTCCTTTCTCCCCATTCCAGTCCCGCTTCTAGACTTCAGAGCACAGAGCAGCTGCTCCCCATGTCTCCAGAGGAGTTCTACGAAGTGTCCCAGATGATGAGCCCCGTGGAACTCGACAGCATGGTGAGTACGGCCACGGGGTGCCCTGCCCTCTGACCGACATCCCCTAAGGCTGGGCAGACCCCGTGCCCACGCCGTGTGCCAGGAGGAGCTCCGGCAGAGCCAGCGAAAAAGCGTTTATTAGCTGAGCCAGGACAAGTTGGTGCCCTCTGTCCTGTGCAGGATTTGTGATTGCTGCCATCCTCGCGGCAAATCAGTAACAGTTATTTACCCTGCCCTCAAGTAGAAAGTTCTGCCCACATCAGAATGCCACATGGTAGGGGGTGGATATTTGCCAGAGAAGACAGTATTTCTCCTTTGGCCTGTTGCTTTCATTACTGTGTCCGAGTAAAGTTGTCCAGTCTGCAAGAAGTGGCCTCCTTTGGGGGCAGTAGTGCTCGACGGTGATGTCAGTTAGTGATCCTCCTGTCTCAGCCTCCCCAGCACTGGGGTTACAGGCATGCACCACCATGCCTGGGGTTCCAGGCAGTACCGGGGGTCGAACCCAGGTCCTTACACTTGCCAGCGGGCATTTAGACTGCTGAGCTAGCTCCCTGGCCTCTGTATTTTGTTCATATTGAGAGTGAGTTTGGAGTGCTGGCTCCTGAATCCATGAAGGGCTTGTCCAGAATGCACACTTCAGGGAGTGAACGTTTCACGGTAGAGCTGGGAAGCTGGTGGTTCACAGAAGAGAGCTCTGCCTTCGGGGGAGTGTTTTCAGGATATTAAACAGTGTATTGTTTGCCTTTGAGCCTGAAATCCTTCCTCTCAAAGATTGTGTTTGGTTGGCTGGAGTTTTGCTGATGCTGTTTAATTTTAAGCTGTTTTCCACATGGAGCGATTCCACTTCATTTTTTAAAGTTTGATTAATGCTTTAGAAAAACAAAATCCTCTCAGAGTCGCTCCTGGCCTTTCGTACCTGGTGCCTGGCGCAAATAAGTGCTCAGTGATGAACAAAGAAGTGAGGGAGGCAGGAGAGAGGGGGGAGAAGGTGTCTCTGAAGTCTTTGCCAACCCAGGGCCGTTAATCATGCGCTCAGGGATGTTTTTGTGGCCACAGCGATACCAACTCAGATGCAGTTTCCCCTGTACAACTCTGTCTCCGTCCCTTTTCCTCACTTTGTGAAGTGCAGGCTAAATAAAACCTTTGGACAGAGTGCTTTCTTACACCTTGCTGATTACTGATGAGAAAGGCCTCTTAGAAAAATGCCTAGCGAGGGTGACAGCAGGGTGGCTCCAGGGTGTTGGCAAGGTGTTCCTTTTATCTGTGTGTGGCAGCATCCCAACACGGCTACAAAAAGCACTTTATAAGCCCGATACAAAAAAGTGGAATAAATGTGAAGTCCAATTCAGACGTAAGATACGTCAGTGGAACAGAAACAGGGTGAGCTCCTTTTACCTCGCCCTGCTTTTCCTGAGCAGGTTCCACCACCACCTCTGCCACCATTGGTTGACAGGGCCCTGGCTAGGCCCATGAGCAGCCAGGTGTGGCTTCATCCTGAACTGCCTGTGGGAGGGCGTCCTTCTCTTCCAAAGAGAGCCTCCGTGAGAGGCCTGTGAGCGCCTGTGAGCGGGACTGCAGGCAGAGTCCCCCGCTGTGTCACCACTATTCCTGACACCTTGAGAAAGGGAGGGGAGTAGCTCCCTCTGCCTGAGCGTGTGGTGACGCTGTGAGAACAATTTAAATACTGAAAGGAAAGGGCAGAAAGTAGGCTTGTGGTCCTCAAGTGTCCCGTGCAATTATCCCCTCCCTTTCCAAAGGATTTCATTCTTTTATTTGTAAAAGAAATCTGTCCCTCTCTGTCTTTCCCTTGTACACACACACATAGGTGCATGCACACGCACACACACACAGAGGTCTCCAGGAAAACCCATAGAACACCTAAAGTTAAGAGAGGCTATTACCCAGGGACCATCCTAGTTAGATAAAATAAAAACGATTGGTCTGTAGCTTGAGTTGACGCTCCCCACCCCTGTGCTTTCCCTGACCTTGAGATGTCCTTCAGCATCCATTCCTTCAGCCATCCCTTAGGGTGAGAGCCAGAGACACAGGCAGCCGCTCAGAGCTGGTGACTCTCCCCTGGGCTGGAGGTTGCAGCCCTGGGCGAAGGTGACATCAGCCAGCCTGGCAGCAAGAGGACCATGGGCTGCTGCCTAGGAAGCCGTTCAGGAGGGCAGTGTTCTTTGCAGCTTGCCGTGAGTGTCCTTTAGTCCAGATTTCTGGTCCAGTGAGCTTTGTCTCTGGACTACAGCAGAGCCAGGCTACTCTTTGAGAGCCCTGTGGGCAGAGCCCAGAGTAACAGGCACACAGCCCTGCCTGCTAGGGACTGGAGACCACTTAGTAGACAAGGACCTTGTGGCTTAGAGAGGTTAAGTAGCCTCTTACAGTCACATGGTGACAGGATTTGAAGCCAGGTTCTCTTCTTCTCCCTCCCTATACCTAAAGGCCACCAGCCCACCTCCCAAGTTTGCATGGTTGACGAGGCTGCAGTGCAGGGCAGCCCTCAATGTGCCCTCAGACCCACCCTGGGCTGCACACTGCTGAGCCTGGGGACTTGGAGACGCATCCAGAGGTGACGGTCTTATGCCTAGCGCTCAGTCTCCATGCTCCTGGGGCTGGAGCACCCTTCGCTGGAGAGCTGTTCTGCGCATTGTCCACCTTCAGCAGTATCCCTGGCCTCTGCCTATTTGACAGACGTTGGCAGCAGCCCAACACTAAGCCTCAACAAACAGCAGTGTCTTCTGACGTCACAGGACGGATTATCCCTGAGAAGCTCTGGTCTGGGAAAGGAGGAGTGTGGCAGGTGGGGAGCTCGTGGCAGCCGGTGGAACACTGGCCACCCTCTCTGGGACAGCTGGGTCTCAGTGACTCTGCCTCCCTGGCTCAGATCCAAAGTCCATTTGTTTATTTGTCCCCCTGAGTGACCTTTAAGGGACATTCTCGCTCCCCTTTCATCCCTCTGTCCTCTGGTGTATAGGTCAGCATTTCTTCACCCTTGTTTTACGTGAGCAGATTTGTCCCATTGCTCTGTCCCCAGACTTGCAGAACAGCAGAAAGCTTTCTGCCATCTGGGTGGATTCAGGAAGCTAAGCCGGCCGGCTATAGAGTAATAATCCTCCAGCTTACATAGCATGAAAGGTCTTGATTACTCCAGGAAAATGGACAGGATGTGCTGAGGGCCTTCTAATTCCGTGGTGGTGATTTGCTTGCTGTTGGAAGTGTCTACCTGCCGCCCTGTTCCAGAGTGGACAGTGATGTTTTATGTGTAAGTGGGCCTGTCACAGGATCAGCGTAATGAACTGAGCCACGTTTTCTCTCTTTATAGATGAATACGGTCTAGAGTGTGGACCTGTCTTCTCTGGTGGCATTTTTCCTTCCCAGCTGCGATCCCCTCGTGCTCCTCTGTCCCTTCACGTCCTGTGTTTCTAGGGACGTGAAAGACAAGAAACCACAATTTGTGGTTGCAAGTGAATATTCCTCTGACTCCACACCACGCTGCTCTGGAGGACTGCACCCGTGTTACTGAAGACTGTCCACAGGGTGGATTTGCAGAAACATCCAGGGACCCTGAAACTCATGCCTCGAGTGAGAGTCCCTTGGGAAAGGTGAGAAGTCGAGCAGCGTCCGCAGGTGCTCGCAGTCCGCTTGGGAGTCCGGGTCACGAGACAGTCACACAGCTGCGTAGCGAGCGTGGGTAGGCGTGGCACGCTCCGTGTACTTGCTGTGCTCTGTGTATGGGGCGAAGCTCTGTGTTGTTTTGTCTGGGGAATAGTTCAAAGCCAGTTCTGTGGTATATTAAACTTCACCAGAGGTACAAGTCTCCCATCTGGGTAGGAAACAGTGAAAATTCAGGACGAATCCTACTTTTTTTTTTTGAGGCTGATGCTATTGGTTACTAGCAGTAGAAGGGGTTTCGGACATTTTTCACACTCATGGGTGGTGGTTTGTGCATTCTTTCAAGAGGCCTCCTAATGAGCAACATCTCCCTTGAGGAAATTCTCCTATTTTCGAAATTGGAATTATTTACAGATGTAGATAAACCCAGACATTTAACTCAGGTTTCTTAAGCGGATTAAGTTATCTTTATTGTTGTTAGCCGGTAATCTCTTAGCCATACAGTCAAGAATAGAGTAGCAAATGCAGTAGCAGGCAACTTGGATCGCAGTAAGATCCAGTAATCAAAACTCGTGTCCCGTGTCCCTGCACTGAGAGGCGCACGTTGTTCCCTGATAAATGTTTTTCACTTGCGAATGGTTGTTTAAACTTGCGAATGGCTCCGTGTCTGTCCTATGCGGCCTCCACGCCCTCCCGAGTGGGTGGTGGCGTGGGGCACGCTCTGTGTGCTGTGTTCCCTTCCTGTCTTCCTCCCGACACCTGTGGTTCCAGGCTGTCATGAGGGACCGCTGACAGCTGTGCACCTCGTGTCCCCGCCGTCATCCCCACAGCTACAGTGTTATAGAAATGCTTCGCTTTTCTTGGGCAGAGGTGAAGTTTTCTTGAAATCTGTTTTAAACTTGGGCTCACGCATACATGCAGCATTAAATGTAACCTGGGCACAGTGCGGTGCTGCCGACAAGTTGAGGTCTCCTCTGTGTGTTTACCTAAGACCGCACGAACCTGGCTGGGTTTTGGTTCACTTTTTAAATCGAAACAAGAAACAAGACAACATTTTTAAGAAATACTATTTTTAATCACTGGAATTTAACCGTCAACCATAGTTGTGCCCTGTGAGAATGGTATGGCTTTTGTTTTAATGCCAAAGACAGAGTTTGCCTGACTTACTTTTAAGAAGTATTAAAATTTGAATGCTAGTCTATTGTGAGCATTTAGTATAAAGATTTTTGACTGAGCGTGGTGGCGCATGCCTATAATCCCCAGTGGCTGAGGTAGGAGGATCGTTATGAGTTCAAGACCAGCTAGGATAAAGTGAGCTCAAGGCCAGCCTCAGCTGTGTCATTAGACCCTGTCTCAAAAATTCAACAACAACCAAAAAAATTTAATGTTTCTGGCCTTATGAGTTGCTTTAATACTTACCTTATTTACGTATCAGCCCTTATTTTAAAATAAGATCAGTACTACTGTCTTCCTACTTGTTGTTATTTATCATTCTAATCAGAATCGGGGGGCCGGTGGGGGATCAGTTTGTGTTCTTGTATAACTGACCACTGCCCAGATCGCGGCTGGCACAGTGCTAGTATCCCACTGACAGGTTTGAAGGAGTTTTGGGCCATTGTCCTTT